CTTGGCCAAAGCTGCTCTTTTTTCCATTATTGTTACGGTTAATTAATTGGAACGATGAATTCATGAATTTGTTCCATATAGATCATTGCATGGTTGGATCCTTCATCACTGCCTAATAATCAATTGTGCATACAAATCATACAAATTATCAGCAGTAATATGTTTCTATTTATGTGACAAAAAAGTAAACCTGAAAATGTTTTAAGTTCACATTCTTTTATTTTAAGTTAAGAATAATACCAGATCCATGGACACTGACCTTACACGCACAGTTCCTGCAGTTCTCAGGCTCTTCCCAAAGCTCTTGATTCCTGTACACCATGTTGTTGGCACTGCAGGTCCTCTCACAGTGACAGCCCTCCAGCTGGGTCAGTCTGGACTCTGCATAGTTCAGCTGCGTCAAAGAACAAAATCACCAGAGTCACCAAACAAAACCAAAATCTCCAGTCCTTTAACCTGGTGGATATCAAACAGGTGCTCCAAAAGAAGGAAAAAAAAATTAAATCACCATTCGGCTCAGGCTCCAAACCTCAGGCTACAATCTATTGTGAAATGACAGACAGGACTGACAACTCCCATCCTGCCACAGCCCTTTCATTCCTACAAAATGATAAATCTTTCTCCCGCGTCTTCTTTCATCATCAGTATTCTCCACTGTTGCCTCCTGACATGGGCGATGCATCTTTGACTGACAGAAGTCAAAAGACAATGTCACTGGGTGAGGACAGAGAGGGAGGGATGTAACAAGACATTTAACTTCAGAGCTGAATTTCACAATCTTGTCTTTTGTCTCTTAACAGCTGATTAACGTGCGCTGACTGTTAACTGAATGGATACCAAGTAGCGCAATCTCAGCTGAAATTTAATAATGAATAAAAACAATACCCCAAACACCTAGCTCATTGAATAATTTAAATTTGGACAATGCAGACATGGTGGAAAAATATATATATAAAACCTCCAACCTGCCTCCACTTCCACTGATAGATTCTGCTACAGGGCCACATTGTCAGAAAGACTAAAAAATAAAAGCAGCCTTTCCTATAAAGTAAAATCCTGGTTGAATCGAGGCTGTGTTCTTCCTCTGGAGACGTTCCAGCTGGCCACTGTGTCACACATTCAAGTCATTTGTTGGTACAGCATAAAGAAAACTACATGCTAATGTGATTGAGCACCGCTCACAGACATGGGCCAGGAATTCATTGTCACTGGGATGCTTCAAAAGTGCTGTCTGCGTTTGTATAATGCAAAAAGGAGGCCATTCATCAAGTTTGTGCAGTGAGATTTTCAGGTCTCTGGGTCAAAGCTAGTAGACTATGGAAATGTACATAAACGTAAAGGGTTTTGATTAAATCTAAAAGACACTGATATAAATAATCACATTTTGGTGAGTACATTAAATCAACTGTCTGGAAACACCTGGCCAGACATTAACATTGACTGAATTAGTAATAATAATTTAAAAAGTCTAAATCTAAAAAAGATTTTCACTGGTCCAACTGATGGACAAGGGTCCAAACATCAATGTCCACAACAGCTTTAATAATTAAAAAGTTAACGAAACAGGTAAGACCCTGACAGCACTCGAGAGATGAAGATCAGGAGCAAGGAGTTTCATAAACAATTCAAAATGACATTCCTCCACTTACTGGATATCAGACCAGGCACAGGACATGAGGACAAAGAATAAGAACACGGACTAGAGGCAGCTGGAACAACCAGCATGAAACCTCAACCACACAGAACACTGATCCTACCAGGACTGAGTGCAGGAGGGAGGTCTGTTTACAGAGAGCACCAGGTGATGTGAATGAGACTGATGACACAGACACACGCAGAGGAAGGGAACCAGACAGATGTAAGATGAAATGAAAATAAAATAGATATTTAACCCTCGGATGAAATGGATGAAGTGTTTAGGCCTGCGTTTTTACAGAAATATTATCATGTCGTGTCATTGGACTCAAAATATTCTAAAGCCAAACATGTAGCAAATATCTCTGATGTGACGCTGTCTCTGCAGTGTGCAGTGCTCTGTTCACAGGTGAAACAAATATATGGTTGGAATGTAAGCAATAACATGTTGAAAACTTGTTTACTTGGATTTTCTCATGCTTAAATGAGGAAACTCTTCTTTTATCACCCAGCGGAGAAACCAAACCTATCAAGCCACGATGTGCGCTAACCACACTCTGGTCTAATGATTAGAAAACCTAAAAAGCTCTGACATCAGTAAATAAACACAACCTCAAATTAAGGCAGCATTTTAATGATTAACCAAAATCAAAAGGCTCAAACTTTGAAGCAGACATGCACTGCATGCATGAATATCTCACTTCGTTTTGCTAATGCACGGGTTCAATGGTTTAATCATGCCGGCCTGTTTGGTATTCAGACAGGATCATTTCATATCTTCTTCGACGTGCCACTTCAATCCATACTCAGTTTCGACGAGCCACTTCAATCCATACTCATACTCAGTTTCTCAACTGAGAAAAACAATCACATTCTCTCAGCAGACGGATGAAGGGGCTCATTGTATGTTTCTTTAATAACAATGTAGTTCAGCCTTTTATGCACTATATGTCTTGATAAAGATGTAAGAAGTAAGACAAAGTGAGAGTTGGATAAAAAGTTCACATTATACAAAACAACAGCAGTTAAAAGAACCATCTGTCTGTGTCTACATCAGAGGAGGATGTTATTTGTATTCTATTCAAAATGTTACTATAGTAAAAAAAATGTTTTCACTAATGTCCTAATAAATACATTTTGCTTGTTGTTTGGGAATTTATCTGCAGTGTTTACCTTCAGTGTCATCTTGGCCAGGAGCTCCTGAAGGTCCATGATGCCTTGCACCAGGCCCAGGAAGTCACTGCAGGTCGGGCAAGCTCAATTGGCGAAAACAAAGTATGAGACAAGAAATGAGATAAAGAGAAGAGGAGAACAAATTAGAGAGTAGATAAACAGAGCAGAAGAAAATCTTTAGCCTGTTCATTGGTCTTAGCTCATGGTAGCCAAAGACAAACACACACTGAGTGTTCATGCATCTTTCTGCTCTCTGTTTTAGGCTCCTGGCTGGTGCGCCAGTATCAATAGTGATGCAACAAGGTGTGATTATACACCTTATTGATCGGCAACAGAGGCAGCAACACAGCGGTGACCTCGTATCTTAATTTGTGTGACAGTAAACAGATGGAAAAACAAGGCTGGCCTGCACTCAGGCCCAGGGACAGCACGATGAAGATCAGTGGAGTAAAGGCAGGAGAAAAAGAAGCAAGGTTTTTGTCTGTGATCAGTGGAGAGATGTCGCCGCTGCACGACACATTACTGATGGCAATCCGATGTTATAATGGCGCACAATAATGGCCAAGGTTCTCGTTTTATCTTTACCCCTCAGCTCTCAGTCTTAGTGTGTGTTGAGAACACTCTCAATATGCGACTTTGTCACCATTACACTTACTGCGGTTGAGGTTAGGACACTGTGTGATGTAACCATTGGGGGCGAAGATGAGCTTCACATCCTGGATGATGCCCTGAAATACAGAAGAGAGAGCAAAGGTCGTTACAGCAGGAAACAGCAGCAGGAGAGAATGAAAAACTGGATATCATGTTGTGTGACATAGTGTTATTAGTGGTAACACTATAGAAGTAACACTGTTGACGATGAACATAACAGTCATACAGAGATACAACATATGTAACCAGAGAAGGTTAAGGTCAAGTGAACCTGAATTATTGTCATTGTGACACGGCACACCTCCGCACACAACCAAATGTGACCTCTGTCTTTAACCCATCACCTTAATGATCGAGGGGGGGCAGTGTGTGGGGACAGTGCCATACTCACTGCACCTCAGTGGAACCTAGTGGCTGGTGGATTCAAACTTGTGACCTTCCGGACACAAAGCATCTTCCTTAACCACCAAGCCACCACTGTAGCCCTAACCCTGGACTAACTCTAACCCTCACACACAGACACAAACTTCATTTATTTTTCCCCACATGCAATTTGAAATAAAAAGGCTGACTTAGAACGAATCAATAGCAGTGCATCTGAGGACTAAACATTAAGAAATGAAGCACGGAAAATATTGCAACTTTGGAGTTGCATTGATTTCTCCTTAAGTTGCTTTTGGTTTAAATTATATAGTCCATTAGTCAAACCTTTTTTTTTTTTTAAAAAAAAAAACGGAAAAAAAAAAAAACTCAATTGTACCATGTTGCTAAAACACAGGTACCTTTTATATAATTAAAATATAAACAACAGGAACATTGAATGATATGGGGAAAAAACAACATGAAAGTAGACTTCTAATTAGTACATCAATGGCAAATATGACGGGAACAAAGGAATAGGTCAGGTGATGTATGATGGGAAAATTCATAATCAAAAGATTGGATGATTGGATAGATGGATGGATGGACAGATGGATGGATGGATGGGCAAACATTACCATTCCCTTGTTTTATCTGAAGTATTTATTTTCTAGCCAACAACTATTCAAATAAAGTCAGGAAGTACTGTATATAAACGCTTTACTTCACGTACTTTTCTTTGTGTTTGTTGTTATTAATTCCATCATCCATACCTAACTATGTTGTCCTCTACCCATAAAAATAAAAAGCAAATCATTGCATATCAAATTTGTATTTTTTGTTTTCCTAATGAGAAACAATAAATTGTGCAGAGATTCAACAGTCCTTTCATAGTGAAGCACCAATGTGTGTGTATGTGTGTGTGCAGTGACATCAGGTTTAGAAATGTTAGTGATCCCATCCTACTGAGCCTTTTTCATGCTAGAATCTTCTACAGTATATGCAGTGGCATTACAGTAAACGTGTGTACTCTCTGTGTATCTCTCATCTGAATCCTGTAGGATGTCCCTCATTTTCCCTGTCACTTCATATGTAACCGTACACATCAAACCCTTCTGCTGCACATGAAAGACAATGAGTGAGGAAACTGTGAGCAGGCAGCTGGATGATGGAACTGTTTCTACACAGACTGCAGCCTTCCTCCAGTAAAGGACGGCCCTCCGAGCCTTGATGTGAGAGAGATTGAAGGATGAGAAGGAGGCAGGATAGAGGGCTGTGTGCAGCTGCAGTAGCAGTAAAGACATGGGTAGGAGAAATTATTTACACCACAGCAGGGTCTATTGGTTAATCAATATGTGGGCAGGTGGGCAGGTGAGATGGGAATATCTTTTTTTTTTTGGAAACACCACGCTGGTTCCACTCCCTGCTGTGTGTGCGTGCAGGAGGCTGACAAAAGGAGAAGTGATTAAATATCAGCAGTATTCTAATGGGCCTGGGAACAAGTGTTTCAAACACACACTGAGCTGGTCTGCTGCTCTCTGCGCCCCCCCCCCTCTCTGCGCTCTCTCTCTCTCTCTCTCTCTCTCTCTCTCTCTGATATTTTGTATTTTTGATCTCTGGTTACACTTAAGCAAGTGTGTGTGTGTTAGAATCTAGAATCCACAGTGCAAATGCTGATCTTCTCTGGTCTATCTGTCTTAATGTGAACTCAATTCCTTTTCTCTGGAGGCAAAATCTCATTTCTGGGGCTTGGGATAAAATTAGCAATTAGGAAAAGGGTTTATGTCGAGTTAATGTTAGTCATGGATATGGTTTCAGTTATGGTTCAAATTTCCAAAGAAGACAGCGTTTTTATAACTGTGTGTGTACGTAGAACTGAAATGATGGATTGATGAAGCGACCTCATCCACTAGGAGGATTTTTAGATTACACTTCTCCCAAACTGAAGCTTCTTTTTAATAATTTAGCTGCCAATAAACTTTGGTTCCACTGTTATTTTGAAAATGGAGATGAACTGAAAAAAAACGTACATTTTAGACATAGCTCTGTTGTTTATAGTCGTTGTTTTTTCCTATATCTACAGATATTTTATATATACTTTTATGCTGTTGTAATTTCCTTGAAAATATTTTTATATATCCTTTTATATTTGTACTTTTTTGTCATTTTGAAGAAAATCCTCTATAAATTAATTGATTACAGTAAACCCTTGTTTTTCGCGGGGGTTACGTTCCAAAAAGAACCCGTGATAGGCAAAATCCGTGAAGTAGAAATCTTTATTTTTTTTACAATTAAATACTCAGAAAAAGAAGAGAAAGAACGAACAAACCATTTTACAGTCTCAACCATTTGTTTCACAAATAAAGTAAAATAAAAGTACTTTAGAAACGTTTCAACAAATAACTTCTGTAATGTACTGTCAAATAATAATTTTAATCATCAACGTGAACAGAAGGCTTCAAATTGCGGAGATTAGCACCGCCCACCGTGAACGGGAGAAAATTAAAAATGATTATGAAAAAAATACAAATTACCTGGTCTTGTTGCGGGCAGTTGCAACCCTTTTTGAATCCTTATTAAAACTTATTGCTGCTGTCTTCCTTATGTTTTTTTTTCTTCCTTCTTTATGGAACGAACGGAAGATTCATTAATTCCATAATGCCGACCTACAGCCGCATAGCTTTTACCTTCATTTAGCATGTCCAATAGTTTTACTTTATCACCGATAGACAGCATCTTCTGCTGCCTTTTGGTCCCTACCGCAGGTACTTTTGCCGGTCCAGAGCGTTTTGTCGACATTATGGGGTTTGATAAACTCGAAATTGCAAGAGAATTTGCACGTACGTAATGTCAATTTGGCAAGCTTTTTTACGTACGTGTACATATTAAACCGCAACGTTATTGGCGCACAGGTAGAGAAGAAGCGGAGTGACTTTTTAGCCAATCAGAATGCAGAACACAATGCACGATGCAAATCCGTGAAGTAGCGAAAGCGTGAAAAGTAAACCGCGTTATAGCAAGGGATCACTGTATAAGAAACAATCAAAGTCTGCGTCTCTAGTGCGTATGCACGTGCTTTCTTACCTTGAACAAGCCGTGCTTGTGACTGTGCTGCCCGAGCCACACTCCAATGCCAGGGGTGAGCTCCATCTGAGGAGGGTCTATCACCCGCTCATAAATCCTGCCAACAACAAAGCAGAACAGAAGGTGTGGATAGGAGAAGGACACGGAAACACTTTTCCCACTTTTATGTCGTTCTGGCAGGAACACTGATTGAACACTGCTGAATTACAAAACAAATTCTGTCAGACTTTCCTTGCACCATGTGTCCACTTACTTCTCCACTTGCTGGGAAGCACATAGTGCAGAACAGTGTCTGATCTCCACAGCAGGACAGCCAGTGTTGCCCTAAGGGCTCTGTAGCAGTGTAATGACATCTGGACGTGCAGTGTAGGACTGTGTGGTGTAGGAAACCGTAGTGTAGGGCTGTGTAGTGTAGTGTCCAACTACTGACATAATATATATATGTGTGTTGCATTATGGGAGCAGAAAACACTCATGTATTTGGATAACTGATTTTTTTTTTTTTTTTTTTTTTTTTGTGGATCCAGTGGAACAGAAAGGATGTTGTGAAGAACAACGTCGTAGGTTTTCATCATCTTAGTTACAGTGAAGAAATCTGACTATGATCAGACCAGTTGTCCTCCTTCTTATGAATGGAAACTATGGATGATTGTGTACCTCAACAAGTATCTCAACAGTTTACATTTCAAATATATCAAACTAACACAAGTAACGTCTTATTTTATGATAAATCAAAATCAATAACATCGAATGACACAAAGTTCAAAAAGAGAAAATGAAAGTGCAGTTGTGCCACCATCACTCCAACCTTGGAAATGGACTTGGGGAGAAATAAAACTTCAACCACAAGCTTTACATCAAAAGCCTATAGTTGAAGTTTTATAAAGTTCCTTTTTTTCCCCAATCAGACACAGATATTGTTTAATTGTATATGATACAATGATAGTAATTTTATTTAAATAAACCAGGCTAATTTGTATGCTTTGGGCTTATTATAAGAGCTGCATTTAGCATTAAATACTTAACATTGAGTGGGATTATTGCTGTAATTTCTTTGGATCTGAATTGCTCCTCATCACTGCAGCTCTCGAGCTTCTTGGGGTTTCAATTAAGGCTTTAGTTTTTAATTTTCTTTGTACATATGGTGGAATAATTCACTGTAGTCGCTCACTGAGCCAAACACTGAAAAAAGAACGAGCATATAATCAAAGAGGAGCAAAGAGGGCAAAACCTTAGCAGGAAAACAACATGGCATCTGGCCCTTTTTTTCTTGTTAAATGCTTATTAATAAATGTCAAGTGGGCTTTGTGCTAAGGTTCCACTCCATCTGTCCCTGAGAATCACCATGGCTACTTTAGTCTGACCACAAACTCAGCTGTTCGTTAACATATGTAAAATCTGAACGACCCCATCGCTGTTAGAGCCGGACCTTTCTGGAGCCCCACCTGCTGAGAAAGACACCACTGAGCTGGAGAATATAGAAATCGCGTTGTCATAATTCATTTTTATTGCCATCATCTTTTCTGCCTTTTCTTTTGTCACCTTCTCACCCCAGTCAGCAGCAGCAGGATGGCACAGAAGATTACCAACAACACCGGAAAGAGCGGCGGTGAGGATAAAGCCAATTAGAATACTAATGTGCTCAGAGGAATGTTTGCACAGTCTGACACAACAGGCTATCATCAGCTAATTATAGACAATGTACAGCACTCAGCATACTGTAGAGTATGAGCGACAGCGCTTCTCTATCAACATGCTGCAGGATTCGGTGAGTGATGGCCACAATTTACACTCACAAGACATTAGAATGTTAATTAATGCAGTTAATGAGTTGACGGCAAAACGTACAACAGAAATTATTTGTGCAGATATGTGAGGATTATGAAATCCATGTTTGGAATAATCCAAGCAAGGAAAGTTTATTTGTACAGCATAATGCATACATAAGGCAATACACAGAGATTCAAATTCAAATTCTCATAGATACGTTTAGACTGAACTCTATTGGTCGCACACTGGGGAAATTATAGAATAGTCCAGTTATCATGACTGGACTGTTTCTCCAGTCATGATAACTGGAGGAACAGTAAAGGGCAGGAGCCAAGCAGAGGTATTTTTTCTTATGTACTGTACGTGTATGTTGGTCACGATGGTGTGATGGAGAGACAAATATAACAGGTGGTTTATTGTGTAGGACAATGGAGTTGTCCACTTGACTAGCATAAAATCCCTTGCCAAAATTACTGAGGTGGCCTCTCAGGACTGTCCACCGTTTCTGGTTTTCATTTAATAATGTTCAGGTTACGATTATATAAAACAGAATTTCCATATATAAACCAACAAACCAGAGAGACAGCCAATCACAATATCTTGACTTCCCTACTGCTTTTAGGGCAAGGTATTAATTTAATCTCAATCTGAGAGAATGCTTCCTGTAAATAATTATTATAATTTGAATTTAAAATCAGCATGTTAAAGTTCCTCAACATGTAAGACACTCCCCTCCAGGAGAGGATGCGGCCCAAATTAAACCTTGCTGTTGGTGGAACGGTTTGCGGCAAAAATACACAAAACCAGATGAAGCGGAGCCATCACTTCATCCATAACCGGTTAAATAGGCCGGCACTGCTCCATTTTTTACACCGCTCTCCTTACCCTTTATCTGCGTCTGTGGGAATGTGAATGTGGGTGAGTAAGTGAGTGAGTGGGTGAGTGAGAAAGGAGGAGACCCACAGCTCACTAAAAAAAGTCAGGCAGGTGAGAAGAAGTTGGTCATCATTCATGTCAAAGGCAGAGCTGAAGCAAAGAAAAAGTTTAAATGTAGGAAAGAGCCCAGGTATGGTGGACGGATGATGTAAATCGACATTATCCGACATTACAGACAGTAAAGTCTGCTCAGAATCCACTTTAGCAAACTGCTTAAGAGCCCTATGTTCATGCACTGTAATGAAATAAACCCAGGCATATACTGAGGAGTGCAGCCATGTGAGCTGACTGTTTCCTTTTCTGGTCTTATGTTAACAGAAACACTCTGCACAGGCTGGAGGAATACACAAACCTAAATATTTCATTTTCAAAAGAGCTCTGCGGTGTATTCGTAGGTCTCTGTCACTGTATGGAAATCCACTTACAAAGGACAGCCTCAATGTTGAAACCCTAAAATGCAAGCAACTTCCATCTACCTGCTTCTTTCCAGGACGTTTCTGTCTCGTTGGTGCTTTTTCTGTGAGCTCTTGCAGAGAAGAAAAGTAAAAAATAAATAAATAAATCAAACTGCACATTTAAGTCCTATTTAAATTGGGAGTCTTTATGTGGGACAGAATTCTAAAAGCGCTGCATTTATCATCTATGAGACAGACCTGGGTTATGCAGAGCCAGTGACGTACCGTGCATTTCTCACCTAGGCCGTCAGTGGCATCCTGCCTGAATACATTAATGTCTTAATGATGTCATTATGTCTATAGAAACCATCAATAATATGCAGAAATGTAGTGTACTGAATCGTTATAACCTAGATAACTAGTACAGGTTGGTTCTTGCAATACTGTGTATGTTACAAAACGTCTTTTAATTTATTTTAGTTTGTTTTGTTTTCGTAGGCTAGAAAACGTCTATTTTATCACGATAATAATGAAAGTATTGGAAATTTAAAAAACATATATACCGCAAAAACCTGCGATACAGCAAAAAATCTGCAATACTGAAATACATTTAAAATATTAAAAACCCACGATGCACTGAGGAGGTGACAGTAAAACGCTGGCCTTGACAGGACACCACTGTGCAGAGCTTCAAATCCCTTTTTTTCTTGGTAGAACAGGTGATCTTACACTGAATGCAATTTACTCTCTAAGTCTTATTTTTGTACCATTTAACTTAAATTGATTGGTGAATACTGTACTTGAGCTTTTTTTTTCCCATCGGCCTTCCTCACATTCCAAATCGACCAGCATTTAAAAACAAGATGCCATTAGGGACAGAAATAAGGTAAAGATGAGCACAATGAGCACCAATAACCACAAGTCAACCTTTCCACTGTGAATGCACATTATGCCCTACTTACTCAACTGTGCATGTAATAAATGAGACGATACTCCGTTACAGCCCATTTGCTGAGATTGGATATGGATCCTGACTCATTTACATGTGAAATTCTGCTCGGATGTGAATAGAAAGACAAAGCAAATAGCTTTCGCGAACACACTTTTATGTTATTATTCCTCTAAATTAAGTCTTCAGCAGTTAAAATGACAATAAAAAACTAGAATGTTCTGTATAACAGTACACCTACACCAGCTCAGTGACTGGTACATGATCGTAAAGCCTTGATGCAGTTTCTCTGAGCTGAACACAAACGTACAGCTCCACCCTGGGGGACATCACTAATAAAATCACAAGAGATTACAAATGAGCCTCTTCCCACAGGGGAAACACTCTCGGTTACATCTCTGTTAACTGTACAACTCTATCACTGTGTCGTAGAGCAGAAAGCATTTGAAAAGTTCTACGAGTTTAACACTTATCAGGTGATTCTTTCATCGTCTACCTTCTAACCCTTGTCAGGGTCAATGGTGGTGGGAGGTGGAGCCAGCCCCAGCAGTCTTACATATGAAAAGGAACAACGATTTATACTTTTATTCACACCAATGGTCAATTTTATGTGTGGTTGTGTGTGTGTGTTACCATCTGGGCCTTGAACCAGTGGTGTTCTTGTTATGAGGCAGGGGCAGTGACACTGAAACAGTGTTAAATAAATGGTTTCCTGCTTGTCAGTCAATCACAGTCGTGCCCAAATTAACAAGCAGAACCAGCTGTATACACCAAGGTAAATCACAGAACTTTAGTGTGCGGCTTTATTCCAAAAACAAGTTAGCCTTATCAGCCAGACATCAAATGTTTAAGATGTTTAATCACCACATCTTTGCCAACTGCTGTGAAACATTTGATTTTTTTTTTTTTAATTTGATGTTTAACTAATTTTTATACATACGACTGCTACTCTAGGCTATTAGCTTCTACATTTTAGGCTTTAAAAGATAAAGATAAAAGGATCCATTTCCAGTTATGCAACCAATTGTAGCCAGAGCTAATTCAGTC